CTTGTGCACTGAGTAACGGCATGTCGACGTCTCCAGCTTTTATTTTTATGTACAAATGTTTTTCCCCATTAGTATTATTATTTTTGGAGTTCTTTTCTATTCACTATATTCACAGTATGTAGTTCACTCACTTACTAAAGTAAGAAATCATCAATAAAATAGCAATAATTCCCCATCACAGAACTAGAAAGGATGTAAAATGCAATGTCCTATGAACACATTTCTGTATTTCCTTTCCATGGCAAATCCCTACCTTATCCGCACACATGGACACCCTGATATCCTGCTGGCTGATCTCGTAGTGCCGAATGTTGCCCACGTAGTTCCCTGACAACTTCAGGATGTCAGCTGATATATACTCCAGCACAGCCACAATGTATAGGGACACATGATAGTCGATCTTGTAACCAAGGACCTCCTGGAAAACATGCCAACCCACACATGAAAAGACAGCTGGCCTATCACAAAGTCTCAAAGGGCACTAAATCATCAACAGTACGTATTGGAGCTTGAAGCGAATCACAGCAAACCCCAGACCCAGGTGTGCTTCACAAGGAGGCACTGACCAGTGGCTGCACCACAGACCCACGCTGCCCTGGGGACATACCTTCAGCAGGGGGTGGATTTTGTCCACGGGCAGCAGCAAGGGGTTCCTCCTCTTGCGTTTCTCAATGGCCGACTGGGCATCAGCGATGGCCCACTTGTCAATGGGGTGGGGGAACGTCTTCTGAACACGCTCCTGAAGGGAACACAGAACGCGGATACAAAACCTTCCTTCCATTCCAACTTATAAACGCGGAAGAATGGGTCTGCCGTGACAGGCATTTAAACAGTGCAGCTGAGAAGGCAAAGGTCAGCACAGACCTGGCTCTCCCAAGAGGCTATTAATGGAAGCCAATACTGGGAAGTCAGTACTTGGCTAACCGACTTAATTACAACAGAGACATTGCAAACAGACTGCTTTCCCAAATGAAAAAAAACAAGGAAAAAAGTGCAGGTATGAAACTAAATGTGGGGATGTGAGGGAAAAAGCCATGAGTGTGACTGCTCAATTGACAATTAAAAAATAAACATAATGCAAACTGTAACAATTAAGCAAGAAAACCAAGATCATAGCAATTTAAAAACAGTCAAAGATTATTTCACACTATCTCTGCAATTACTGTATAAAAATAAAGGTACTCGATTCATTTAGGTTTTATAAGCCTCTTAAAAGACATGCACATGCACTGCAAAATTGTGAAATTAACTAAATAAAATAGAGTATGAAGTTTGTTTATATTTTTTCTGTACACAAAATATAATAACATGTTCACCTTTTAAAGCTAATTATTTTAAAACAACTTTGACATTTAATGGTTGACTCAGTTTGACTACCAGTAACAGAGCTTCCCCATTTAATGTGATACCTGCCAACTAATTAGCTGTGTGTGTAGATTAACAAATTAAAGAGGCCTTGAATTGCTTAATTTATAGTGAAACTGATGGAACCTTTTAGCCTCTGAGTAAAAAAAAAGGAGGGTAGGTTTCAAAGTAGTAAAGTGTTAAGTTGGATTCAGTATTCACAATGTGGATAGTTAGGTTAAAATAAACAAAAAGCTGGTGCTTTATTGTAATTGTCTGGTGAACAAAATGAAACACCAACTAGTACCAGGCCTGAAAAGCATGAAAATAACCAGGCAACTGGAATTCCGGTGCAGTAATGTCTACACCGCAGGCAAGCGGCAGGAACTCTGGCCAAGCCAGCTGAGGGCACATGCTCCCTGCTCTTCTGAAGCTGCCAGTCAAGGTACCTCCACATCTTGGACAGTGCGAGGCTGGGCTACACACAGCATGTTCAGCAGCTGCAGAATGAGCTCCTCGATGTATTGAAGCGCGTCCTCTTTGGCCGACAGATTAGGATGAACCTGGAGCTGCACCTAGCAGAGGAGAATGACATACAGTACATGTCAGGGCGTGCCGTCTTCACAGCCTGAAAACGAAACATTTCTCTCTTTGCCGTCAGAAGGTTTTGGGAGCCGCTGAGGGAAACGGAGACTGCTAGTAACAGCTAATCTCTTATAAGTCATGGGAACAGATACAAACAAGAGAAGACCAATCAACTCATCTAGCCTGTTTGATCACTAGTAGCTGATTGAGCTGAGGATCTTTCAGCCATTTTTTTTTGTGTTAGCTTTACAGTACAGAAAGAATAAAGTAAAGGACAGCAAGATCTACACCTGCTCTAAACTGTGAAAATGGCCTTTTCAGAGCAAGGTGTTAAATGCATAAGTGTCGTGTGTTTCTTCAGCAAGATTCGCAACGAGCTTTGACCCCGAGTGATTGAAGAAAAGTCAGGTTTGATTACAAAACAAATTATTTCACAGTTGAAAGAAAAAACACCATCCCCCTACTTCAGCTCTTTGTCATAGCCTTTTTTTAAAGCATGACGCTTTGCCAAGGGGTTATTTTCATGCGTTTCTATTTTGTCATCGCTGGCACTCTCATTCGATTCCCTTGCATTACGCACCGCGTAAAAATAGAAGTCTGATTTTTCAGCAGAAAGTGAAAGGAGATGGCTCTAATTAGTCTGTCTCCTTGGCTGGAATGCAGTCTGGCGAGATGCTATTGTGGGGCTGGTCCTGCACGAGTTACAGAAAGGACTGCTGACGGCAGCCCGGGGAACAATGCCCGACGGTTTGCGTGGCTGCGCTGGAGTAACCCCGGCTGCAGAGCGAGGCCCGTCCCTGCTGCTGCTGCTGCTGAAAACACATCGCCTCCGTGCTGTGGAATGTGTGAAGAGCGTCGAAGGTCAGCTGGACTACGCATGAAAGCCTTCGCTGCCTTGAGGCTTGATGCCTCACTCTCCTGTGGCCACCCGACAGACCTGAGCGACTCCACGTGTCGGGAAACTAGGGGCCTAAGGGTGCAGAACTCGGGTTACGGAGCTCAGCCTTATTTCCGCAGGGCAGTCCAGTCCATTGTGAGAGCCAGACTCTTCTCTTATAACTCTTAACTCTCTCTCTCTCTTTCTCGAATAAAAAGAAGAAAGGAAGAAGAAGAGGAGGAGGAAATTAGTGCATTTAAAGAAGGCACCACAGCAGAAATGTTCCATTTCTTTTCTTTACCTTTCAGCATGGAATGAACCCTTACCTGTTCCATATTGCATTACTGCAGATTAATTATTTCTTTGGCATGTTGCTAATCTCTTACTTAGGCCTGAATAATTGAATGTGGAATGTTATTACCCTCTGCAGCTGAAATGTGACGAAAATGTTTTAAAAGAAAATTGTCGTATCACCATGTAAAGCAAAACTAAAGACTAGTGGCTCATCACCTCTCCCTGTATTAGCCTACTATTAGTGGGACTGTCATACTTCGCAGAGAAGTCACATTTCAGGCAACAAGCAGCTTTTCAAACCGCTCTGTGTTCCAAAGAAAAGAACAAAATGCTGCATAGCATAACAGTACAGAAGATATTACAGGGGTTCTTTTTTAGATGTAATACTTTGAGTCTAATTATTTACTCTGGTTTTAAGTCAGTCCTGGCTGCCTGAGCTCTCAACTACACCCAGAGAGAAAAGAACTAAAGCAGGTCCCAGAACGGCACCAGATAACCCGGTTGTCTTCATTTCCATTAACACCAACGGCTCCTCTGTGGAGAGATTCCAACTGCCCAGTGCTGCTCCACTGAGTATATTTTAATTCCCTCTGTTAGTTTTAGTTTTTAAACTTTATTATGTGCTCATCTGCAATAAATAGGGTGTAAAACCCACGTTGACATAACTGACCGATATGGCAAAGGACCTGACATTCCTGTGAAGTCGGCCTTTTAACCTACAGTCCATCACCCAGGAAGCACTGGCCAGGTGACTGCAGGGACATGGAAACAAATTCTTCCAATAAACAACGGCACATCCCTGGACAGGGAACAAGACTGAGTGCCATAATGTGGTGCGCTCAAGTGGGAATTTCTTCATCTTAACAGGCTGAAACTGCAGGTTTAAAACCAAGGCAGACCTTTAAAATGAATTAAAAACTAACAATTCTCAGGTTATGAGATTTCACCTAAACGATCACATGAGAATGATAGGGGGCTATAGCGATGATTCTGGCTACTGTTCCTTTGTATTCTTATTACGCACAGCTTGAAGAGCTCTAACCACACACATGCACAGAACCCATTGCGAGTCTAGCAAAATAAAGACCTCAGTGCACATCTATGAGGTGTGACAAGTACAGTTATACATTGAGGAGGAGATCCATTGTTCAGCTCTAAAGAGGAACTCTCTCTGCTCATATGTGCCAAGGACATCTAGTCACGTCAATTCAAAGAACATGCTGTGGCTTTTTAGTTCACTCATGAGTATGCGTACATTCAGCTGCGTACTGGCTCGGTAACTCCGTTCCATTTGATAACGCGTATAGATCCTGAACCAAATGGCAAAAAGCAAGACTGAAAAGAAGGCAGGGAGCAAAGCTGAATGCGGTTCGTTACAAACACAAAGTTATCAAGCAAATAAAAACGACTGAACTGAAACAGTTTTTATAAACTCTTATCTAAAAAGGACTGCTGAAACAATCTGACAGCAAGAGAGAAAAAGGGCGCTCCATCTCCTTGCCCTTGCTGTTATTTAAATCCCCAAGACTCTCTCCTGCTCCAGTCATGGTAAAAGCAGCCCGTCAGGGATCAATAGGTACAGTACTGCAAAATCACAGTTCACATATGATCACCAGTCTCCTGGATACTATTAATATTTCTTTTTCCCTTCTAAACATTCTACTCTATTATCTTAATGCAAAACTCTATCTGCTAGTGGAAGCTTATCACATTAAAAGGACAGATCCATTCTTAATTTGCTATTAGCTTTCATCAGGATACAGCGTGGAAAGATGGACTGGGTGGGGGTGGGGGTGGGGTGAGGGGGGAGTCAACAGGGGCTGCAGGCTTCAGCTCGCCATTAGGAAGGAGAGAGGGAGGATGGAGAGGGGGCCCAACCAGCCGGAGGACAAGGGTCAAAGCAGGGCTGCCACTCCCACCTCCCCCACTGGGTGTCTACAGTTACTGTACATTAAGAAATGAGAGCCATCACAGAGGGGGCTACCCACAGTCCCAGCATTTCCCACAGGAGACGCAACAGCTTGCCATTATCGACGTTTTCTACCGACAATGAAGGACCGGGGGTTTCGTTCACTGTGAAGTACAGATCATTGAAACACTATCTCCCCATCTACAAATGCGCTACTAAAATGAAAGCCTGCAAGCATGTATATGATGCTATTACACATATATGCAAAACAAAAAATATCTAATCGGGAAATAAAGTGAGTTAACTGAGTGCAGTTTACACTTAATGCCTGCAAGTGTAACTGAATGGTAGAATAAACATTTGGCTGAAAGACAAAAGAGTCCATTCATCACACATCTGCTTGAAGGGTGGACTGAATTCCTCCTAAATTGCTTATCTATACTTTAGTTACCTAAGATTTCTGTTAGGAAATGTAGTATGCTTGTTCAAGACACACCAAGTGTGTGATCGCTGTCCTGCCACGCAGATTTAGTCATATGTTTATCCCATGCAGGGGGAAGTAAGTTAGATTCAACAAAGGCTGTAACCAAAATACAATTTTGTGCCTCTTTGCAGAGAAAAAGGTCAGATTTGTAAGATCAGAGCTAGCGAAAGGCAAGGTAAAGGGATAATTTGTAAACACACTAATGGAAGGTTTATATCAGTAGCACAGAACCTGAAATCTTTTTTTCTCCTGTCAATGAAGAGGATTTCGGTGGCTTCGTTTTTGCCCGTCCGAGGCAATTTGATGAGAAGGTCATTTTGGAAGAAGGTAGTATTAGGAGGCAGAAGTGGGTAATATTGCAGTATAAAGGGCTGAAAGCGATCACGTGGGAGCCTGCACGCCTGGTTGGACAGGGCGGAGCTCAGTGTGGCAAGCCCATTACAGCTCAGTGAATTCCAGGAGTGCTGAGGAGAAACCAATGGCTCAGGTTTCGGGTAATGTGGCCATATGGGGGGCCTCCCTCCCCTAGCAAGGCTGTGTTTCACAGCATTGCATCAGTGAGCCATTAGGACCAAGCAGCCAAGGGAATTCTTACTAAGAGGCACTCATAACCTAGACACATTCTTGCTGAAATCATTAAAGGCAAACAGAAAAGGCCAAGACACCAAGCTCTTTTCAAATGCATGGCATGTACAGTATTTCTTCTGCTTTACTTCTTCAGGGAGTTCATCATTGTCCTAATTGGTCTCTTAAAAACAAACCAGACCAGCGCAGTTTGGGCCTCTGTCTCGCAGTCTAACTCGACTCCACTGCAGGACCAGAAGGAACCCCAGCTACGAGAGTCAACCCGAGGATAAAAGAGCTCATTACCAGGCAAACCTTCTCTCTTCCCCTCCACCAAGGGAACACGCGGGTCAGGTGTGGAGGAAGTGGGAAAGAGGAAAGTCGCCTGTGTAGTGCTTGATTGTGATGAGTAAAAGCACATCCTGTACCATTAACCAAAAGAACACACCAAGAAAAGGCTGCTATGAAACAGTGCAACTCCCAGAATGAAAAGGCCATGAGAGGAAAAGCCTGCAAGCATGTCTGCCCTGCCTTCATTTTGCCCAATAATTCAGTAAACCCTTCTATTACCTGAGCCAAACACAGAACAGAGAGGTGCCTTGGTATCCCTCAAATCTAAGAACACTACCGTATAACCCTAATGGGACACTTATAATAATCAACCTTGCCTTGTTACAATTGCTAGTAATGTTAATTCGACAGCTGTTTTTGACACCATGCCTTGGTTAATCCCATGCTGACTGGCTACATACTGTAAGGTGTAAGGTTTGCTGGTTTGCTTGGATTTAGACTAGGTAGGCCATTGCAAAGTCAAAGAGTGAGGGTGTTACCCCAGTGTCTTTTACCAATCAAGGCCTCCTAA